AGCTTAATATAAAATCCATGGATAATTTTATCATTTTAAACATAGGTCATGTATACCCTTCAGGAGACTGGATCACACCATTAGTTCATCAGTTCTGATATCCTGCCACAATCAGTGACCAATATTTGACACACATTACAAAAATAGCAATATTTTTGACTTTTATCTTAGGTTTCATCTGAGGGTGTTACAGACATTAATTAAGACTCACAGCACCCGTTATGTAGGTCTGACAGTATTATTATCTCCATTTCACAGGCAGGCAAGTTAAGGCAAAAAATGTTTAACGGTTTGATCCTGCAAAATGCTGAGCATTCTCAATTCCCACTGACTTCAATGGGAGTTCAGGGCGCTCAGCACCTAGCAGGTTCCAGCCCAATAAGACTTTTCCAAGATCACCCTGTAATTCAGTGGCAGAGTCAAGAATAGATCCCAGGCCTCCTGGAGCTCAGTCCTGTCCTTTAATAGCTACATCATGCTTTTTCAGACTTGGGAGCAGAGTGAAAATAAAAGAACACAATAATGCTCTCAGACAGTTGTGCTATGCTGTACGTGGGTATGGGCATTTGCTTCCTTCCCTGCAGAAAGGAGTCTTGCAGGGAGCCTTTGTGTTGTTGGAGGGGATGGATTTGAAAGAGATTTTGCACCACCACCATTCAATTCTTCTCCCTTCTCTAGTCAGGCTGTATCATTGCTCCCTCACACTAGCTGGGCTGCTAGCTCTGTGGATTTAAAAAATATTAATTAAACTCATTGCATCATTTGTTCTGAACAAAAATATCTTATACAAGTGATATAATAAGTAGAGGTTGTAACAAGAATAGGATAAGGTATCAGCTTCTGGTCTGCCTTTTGCCATTTTTCTTATTTCCTCACTCATTTCATTGCATCAGGGGGCTAAGATGGTCATTCTAAAAGACAGGCACACAGCGTCTGCCAAAGCCATTCCTAATACCACTTTTTGAACTGTCCAGAAGGTGGTGTTGGCACCTTCCTCTCCCTCGTGCCTATCCCTCCCACTATAAGACATTAGAAATGCAAATGGAAGTTATTACTTATATTTTACAGGGTGGGATTGGGTTATGGGGGGCAAATGGAGCCCCTGGACCAAAGACAGGTCACAGCTGATGCTCACAGTCACCGTAGGCAAGACTAAGTCTCAAGGTCACTCCCAAATCCTTGATTTCTGCAGATCAGCAGGTATGCAGCATTACTGCTGTGGCACTAATTCCATGTATTAATCATTTGGCTAGAGAGTTTTTCTGCAGAAATGCTGCCTGTTTTCAAGTACATGAAAAGAGAGTAATTAGAAAACTAAAAAGGCAAAAAAGGGAACTTTTAAAAAGTGATTATTTATTACAAGACAACGGCAGAAAATGTTTTCTGATATTGCTTCCGTGTGAAATAATGGCTATTCCAGCAATGATAAATAGGTAAAAGTCTGGTCACTGACTTGGTGCATATGTCTTCAATTGAAGGAAATACTGTCTGCCAAACTTAAACCAAGTAGATCATAGGTCTGTGGGAAAAAAAAAAAAACACAACACACCACCACAACCCTAACGGGGTGGAATCTAGTTGCTATAGCAGCAAATTAAACAAATAAATGAGATACCATGGAATGCTGAAAAATATTTGTGGGCTGATTTTGTCATATTTGCCACATGTGTGAATACTAGCAGTCAGGTTTTAGCTTACTAAGCAGGGTTCAATACAGTGAGTACAATATAGCACAACTATACTTTTATAGCATGTATACATTTATTCTTACCTAATGACATGCTAATGGGTGTCAGCTGATGAGCTCTAGCATACACAACACTGCATTTTGCTAAGAGTGCAAAAAAGTTACTATAAAAGCATTTTGTCCTCTAGCTATACAAAAGTATACCTGAAATACTATTAACTGAATGTATACAACATGCACTACTTTTCTATAAGGATATTTCTACCTTTCCCTGTTCTTGTATGAACTGGTAAAAATATAAGCTTTTTTGTAATGATTACATCCAAAGTGATTTGTTTCTGGGGTGTTTTTAGACTATTTTCTCTATCGGCTGTTAAACTCTCAAATAATCACGTCTCCAATTATTTTACAAACTCATTAAAACAGGCTGTTGTACATTACACACAGTACATGCCATTTCCTCTCCAACCCAAGAAAAACTACATTTAAATTTTCCATTGCAATATACTGTATTGTTCCTCTTGTGGATGAAAGGCACTATCTGAATATAAGCTATTATTAATCATAATAATGTATCATTTTCAATTTTGATCCTATTGTCTGCTTATGTTCTCTGGAAAAAGAGGAATACTTGAAATATGAATATAAAAGGGTCCTAGAAATTTCTGATGTCAGGGGACACAGAGAATAAGTTTGTTATTTTAGCCGAGCAGGGAGAACAGATCCTTATCCATATGTACATACAGAATGGTATAATCATTTTACCTTTATATAGTATTTTATATTTATTTCCTGAGAATCACAACAAGATAAAATGTGAACTAGCATCACAAAAATGCACCTGTTACAGACTGCTATAGAGTTTAATCATTACAAAAGAATTGCACATGGTCACAAAAGAGCATGTAGTCAGCTATGTAAATTGTGTTTTAAATAAACATTAAAAAAATTAAAATAAACATTCCCAAGCCTTCTGCATTTGACCATGTATTATCAGAATTATGGAAGTGCACTATTAGATTGTAAACGAGTTTCTATCCTGTCCTGTGTTAGTACTGGTTTTAAAAATTGCAACCAAATTTTAGGGCCAAATCCCTGGTTCCAGACAAGCTGTGCTCAGCATATAACACAAAGAGGGAGAGAGTTTCTAAACAATCTTTCTGCTTGCCCAATCCTGTGGCTTTTCACTGGTCACTTGTGTGTACGATCATGCTTGTGAAAATGTCGGCATGTGCAATTTTCTGAAAACATGGCTTTCAACGTTTTAAAAAACGGCAAACTCAACAACATACATCTGAACGCTAAACCAATATTAAAGCAGGAAGGTTACAAATTCTGGAGCTAGACTTCCTTATCTCTGGTGTCACAAAGTGAGTCACTTTCCATCATAATAGTGACCTCTAGGAAGCAGCTTATTTGATAATTTTAATATGCAGCACAAACCATGTGTTGCAGCCAATATGCACAAATAGGTCTTACTCTAAACTGGCTTCTTTTAAGAAGATGACATGATATTCTGAGGGTTATCCAGGGAGCTGAGATAATGTATCACACTGATAGTTAAAGATACAAACAAAAAGAAACGGATACACAGAGATACTGACACCAGTCTACCGATACCACACAGAAATGGTTTATGCAGACACAGATCTTGTATTAACATGAAGATGGATGTTACCAGGACTTGAGATTCAGGGGAAAAAACTGTCTTGTCACCATGCAAATATTAAATACACCTGCCCTGTTAATATATTTACATGTCCAACAGTAACAGCAGCAAGTTGGCTCAAGTCTCACTAGCAGCATCATTACACCATCAACTTCCTCCCCCATCCCTGTAATTAACAGAACTGTGGGATGTTTCCCAGAGGGCATGCAATGCAAAGACAGACATATGAATGAAACATATTTTCCTTTTCCTCTTCTTTCCTTTTTCTTTTATAATTCTCTTCCCCCCTCTCAGTTCCTCTTTCACCATTTTTTGTCTCTCTCTCTTCCTGTTGTCTACACTGTTTTCGGCTCCCATTTTCATTCCCTCTCCTCGCCTTTCATTTATTTATTTTTTGTCACAAGCTGCAGCAACATCTGCTTTTTGTTTTGTGATCTGTCCCTGTTCCCCTGATCAGATGCACCTCCCCTGCCTGTCTTTCCATCATAGTCGGCCGTCCCTCCCTGACATCTCTCTCATTCTATCCTCTTTGCTTCTCCCTTCCTTTCTTTCCCTTGGTGTTCACATTTCTTGCCTTCATTCCTATTTCCTGCCAGAATGAGTTACGTTCCCGTGCGGGTAGTGATAGGTGGCTTGCACAAAAATGATCTGACATGGGGAGTTTAACTTAATACAAACTTTTAACTTGTAATAATACTTCTTTTCAGTGGGGATCAGATCTAGGAACATTCAACTGACATTAAGTAATCAAGTGCATTTTATGAGAGATTATGACATTCCAGGGTGCAAGCCAGACCAGTGAGGCAGTGTGTCACCCTTGCCCTGCAACCTGGGTTGCCTCACAATGCTTTGCTGCTGTAGCTTCCAACCTGGGCTTCTCACAAACAGCATGCAGGTCAGACCTTGAGTGTCTGTGTATAGCTGTTGTCTGCCAGCATACTCCAGTCATACTTTGGCTTTCACCAGCCTTGGTTATCACTTGCAAGGTGACCCAAGTCCCAATCCCAAATTTTCCCCAAATGTGTGTTCTGCAGTGTCCTGGACAGTTCAGAGATTTTAGGTCCATTGTCCCTGTAAGGGGATCAATATTCAACAGTCTGCTACTTTAAATGAAGTTACCCCACATCCCAGTTGCACCAAAACACTGGATTAGTTTTGATTAAAGAATAAAACTAGTTTATTTAACCACAAGGAGATAGGTGCTAAGTGAGTACTAGTATAAGGCATTAAAGTCAGAAATGGTTACAAGAGAAATAAAGATAAAACACTTCCTAGTACTAAAACATAACTAACTAGACTTGGTTCAAAGTGAAGTCCCTTACCACATGTTCTCAGTAACATTGCTGACCAAATTCCCAGGTCAGGATCTGCTTTCAAAATCCAACTGGTGTTTCTTTTGTCTCCTTAGGTGAAAGAGAGAGAGATGGATAGGGAGAGAGAACTTGGTGTGTTCTTGCCCCTCGCTTTTATAATTCAGTCACCCTGTGAAATGCATTTTCCTGAGGGTTACCCCTAGATAAAGTTCATTCCCACTGTAAGGATGGAGACAAGGGGGTTGTTAGCGAAAGAGGTTCCATGCTGCTGTTTTGCTAAGCTGCAGATCTGTTTGTTCCTGCCCCCTTCCTTGCCAAAGGATGGCCACTTGATAGGTGATTGGCCATCAGCTTTGGTGACACCTGGTTAGAGGCATCAGCTTGTCTATTGTTTAAACGGTTAACCAATTAAAGGGAGAGGGGCTGAGGTTGCTTTTGGGGCCAGTTGGCCGGCCGTTGGGCTGGGTTCGGCCGGCTGGCCGGCCGGTTGGCCAGCCAGCACGGCTGGAGTCTGGTGTGGCACAGCTGAGGTCCGGGGTACAGCCAGTGTGGCTGAGATCCGGTGTGTCACAGCCGGGGTCTGTCCAGCAGGGCCGGGGTCCAGCCAGCTCAGCAGGGGGTTAATGGTTAATGTCGGTTAACTAGTAAGCCTAATGCTTACCGATTAACTGGTTAACATTTTACATTCCTAGGAGGGAGTGAATACAGGGGTGCATTCTATCACAGAGACCTGTCATCGTTATACTGTAGTTTCGTTTGTAAGTCTTGGAGGAGGCTGTGTGTGTTTCCTATAGACCACAAATGCACCAACTGGAAATGACTGATAATCAGGAGCACCCAACACATATGTCCGGCAAGGAGCACTATCTCAGACCTACACTACAATGAGTAATCTCACTTGGCAGGTGCATAGCATTGTTAAGGCACAGATCCTACTTTACAGAAAATGGCTTGTGCTTTTTTTGTATTAGGTAAAGGGTCTTTTTTCAGAATGTCAGGGGATGTCACTCTCATAATCCAGCATTTTTTATCTAGGTGCCTCTCAGTTTCTGAATGCTATGCTGACACAAGTTCTGACATACATCCAGTTTCCAAGCACTCCACGTAAGTAACAGAAAACCAAGATAAGTTTTTGTGTTATTGCTGTTTTTCTTCCCAGTGTGTGGGGATAATTGATACCACTGTATTCATGTTCCAGTTGTGGGACTGGCAGATAATGAAGAGAGATATCAGAAGATGTAGCATAACCACAGCATAAACATGCAAGAAGTGTTCAAAGCCAGGAAAGGTATTTTCAGTGTTCTAGTTAAATGTCCTGGGCCCACAAGTGATGTCCACTTATTTGGTATTCCATCATTTAGACAGCTGTTCAAGTAATGGATATTTATTCTACATGAAACAGGGTTCATTAGTCAATTGTATACTTTCTGTGCTTTCTATCAGTAAACCTTTCAATTAATGTCATAGGCAAGTGTCTACACTCTGAAACATTAATTAAAGATCCCATTTCTGAATCTTTATAATCAGCCTCTGATGGTTTTTATAGCTATATATAAAAAGAGAGCTCAATTAAACTGAAGGATCCTTGAGATGCTTACCATGGATTTAGATATCAATCGAGCAGAGAGACTACATTACAATTCACTTCCAGCAAGCTTGTCAGATGTTAGCAGCTATGGGGGTATTGAATTAAATGGCCCATAAATGGGGTGTCTTTGTACAAGAAGCAGTATGAATTGTTAAATGTACTTTAGTCCACAGTCTTCTACTAGAGCCTGTCTGCAAAGGGACTGGGTGCAGCATGCTAGTTAGAGACAATATGGATGAAACAAAAAAACATGGGTCATCTCCTTAGTTGTTCCTCAGAGAGGCTCATTGAGCAACTGGCTTGATTCTGAGCTCCGATGGAATGAATAAGGAACTGTAGGTTTGTAAATAACTTTTACCTGATCTATATAGGCCAGGTCACTATGAGCTTTGATCCAAAGCATCTTTCATGTGGCTTCCCTATTTCTGCATTGGCCTGAATCATTCTTGAATCAAAAAGAAAATTGAGTATCAGTGCTTTCTTCTGGCATTAGTCCTCTGCTTCTCCAGATTCACTAGATCTGTAAGATGTGTTTGTTACAAAAAGTAATAACAGGATACATCACAGCACTGGATCCATCCCCTCTTCAATTGTATGAATCTTTAATTTGAGCTGACAATAATGAAGAGGAGAGAGAATCTGTGAGAGAGGCTGGAAATGTATCATTTGGACGTGCTCCGCTCCATAATTCATTTCCATGTCTCCTACATGTCCGTTTTTGGCATGTATGCTTTCACGTAAACCAAAGGGAGCTAAGAGGTCTTTCTAGTAATCCTTTTGTTTTCAGTAAACATCATCAAAGAATAAGCAGCATAAAAAGGGAAAATATCACTTTAAAAACTACACTGGCACATGCTCCATACAATAATCAACTTTCCAGCACCGTAAAGGCAGCCCATATTTCCCACAAGATTCTCTCCTCTGTATTTTCATATTGAGATAGCTCATCATTTCTGCTCTTTGAACCCATTAAACACTTCAGTAATAAATTTTATTACTCTGTGTTATCTTCCTTGCCACAAATTATATACACACGCACACACACGTAACTGAAAACATCCCAGATTCCTAGAAAATATTTGTGTGTGTGTGTGTGTGTGTGTGTGTGTGTGTGTGTGTGTGTGTGTGTGTGTGTGTTATTATATATATATATACATAAAAAAACATTACTTTAAGAATCTGGATGTTCTCAGTTAGAAATAAACAAGGATTCTTGTTCAAACCCTGTGATAACTTGGATAAATTCTATATGCAGGCCTGCTCACATGTTACTGTGTAAGCGTAAAATACTGCATTATTATAATTAGAGCGTGTGTTGTACATGTGGTAGGTGCAAACTGCAAGGCACTGAGTGTCGTCAGCTCTAAATGAAGCCAATGAGAGTTGAGGACATTTTACACCTCCTTAGAACCTGTCAGAATGAGACTCAACGTTTAAGGGATGTCTACGCTACAGCAGCATAGCTGGTAGTGGTACTGTTATAGTGCCACAGTGTAGAAGCTTCTTACAGCAATGAAAGTGGTATTTCCGTCAATGTAGTTAATACAACCCTCCAAGAGGCAGTAGTAAGAATTCTTCCATCGACATAGTTGCATTTATACTGGGAGTTAGGTTGACCTAACTACATCATACAGGGCATGACATTTTTCACAGTCCAGTTGCATTACTAGGTTGGTCTGATTTGAAAGTGTAGATTAGACCTAAGTTTGTTTTTACTACAATAGTGAGCTTGAGTTAGAACACTCGAATTACTTCACCTGAAGTAGCTCAAGTGAGAGCAGAAGGAGAGTAAGGACACTGCAGAACAACAGTGGAGCGACATGGCATAATTGGATTAGCAGAGTGATTGGATTAGCATTTGATGACTTGTTGTAACTTGAACTGCTGCATCCTCACTGCATTACTAGCTCAAGCTACAGCAGCATTCAAGCTTTGCCCCTCCCATCCCAGCCAGCTCTAGTTTAAAGGACCTAGCTAGATATTAACTTGAGCTAGATGTTTGTGTGTGTGGATGGGAGTTAGGGACAAACCTAGAGTTAAAACTCAAGCTAAGAATGTATGCCATGAAGACAAGTCCTAGAAATATACAATATATATGTGTCGCTTCATCCACCGCTGACACGTAGCCACAATATGACACAAATTTTATCCAGCACCAATGACACAATATAACAGTTTAAAATAACTAAAGCTTATTTTTTAATTAACAATACTTAAGATTACTGGAGATCAAGTCTGAAAGCGAGTTATTACAAAGTGGGCTCACAGAACTGAGCAATGACATAGCGAGAGTCATGAAGTTGAAGCACTTTTAAAACAATATGCATCTTTGGTGATGCAAGAGAAAAAATAGAAAGTATATCCAGAGCGAAGAACCCTACAGCAAAGACTTGAATAACAACTTGTCTGATGAAGGGATTCAGTTTTAGAACTAATTTAAACAAACTAGCAAGGCTGTATTCATTCGTGCAGTCTGCTAAAATTACAAAACATTTGATAAATAGAGGAAATAAGCCCACTTGGTTAGCGATTTATAAACAGGTATTACTTGATGTAATCACATTGTTCTCAGATAATCTGCTCAGTATAAAATGAAAATGTAGCCTGTGGTTTACACAACTATATACTCAACCTGAGTTATTTAGGGGTGGCATTCACTTCACTAAATGAAACAGGTCAAATCCTGGCCTGCTAAAGTCAATGGTATTGACTTCAGTGAGATCACTATTTCATGTTAGTTCTTTGTTTTGTCTTACACAAATTTCTGTATATAACAAAAATCATACATACTGTATTCAATCTAGGTACTCTGTCCTCTTTACCGTAGTATGTGATGTAAGCATCAATATAATGATTATTACTGTTTAGACATGAGCAAATCAAATACTGTACTAAATATGTCAACTTGCATGGATAACAGAGATATTTAATATAATATATGGAGATATACCTATCTCATAGAACTGGAAGGGACCCTGAAAGGTCATCGAGTCCAGCCCCCTGCCTTCAATAGCAGGACCAAGTACTGATTTTTGCCCCAGATCCCTAAGTGGCCCCCTCAAGGATTGAACTCACAAATGTGGGTTTAGCAGGCCAATGTGCAAATCACTGAGCTATCCCGCCCCCAGGCAACCAAATATGGTCCAGTTACTATTTCTTCCTGTTTTAATTCACAGTGCCAGTTTAGTACAGCTTTAAAAATTAATTAAAGAAACATTATATTGCCATTGTTTTCAATTGTTCTTAAAATTTATTTGTCCACTCCTCCAACAGAAATTGGTCCAATAAAAGATATCTCACTTACCTTGTCTTCTCTTAAAAATATAGTTATTTTGAATAATATTTAAGTGTAAAGTGTCCTGAAATACCATATTTTATTAAAAAATAAATAGTTAAAAACAGGTTAATGTTAAGTGTGTTTCAGTGGAGTCTAGCTAATATCTAACAATAGTTGATTACACTTCCCTTTAAAAAATTCTTCATCTTTCAAAACCCAAACATTTGGACACAATGAATAGGGTCTCCACGTAAATCCTTCATCATTCACTGTCACTGCACTTCACTTCTGCCTACCCAGACTTAATTTTGTTCCCTTGCTCTGTTCTGCAATGGAAATATGCTGCTGGATATATATGATTTTATATATTGCTTATTAGATGTTTGTATTTTTTTTTAAAGAAATACAGTCCCAGGTTACATTCAATTATGTCTGAATTCTATATGAGTTCTAATAATGTGATGTGTTGGTGGAATAGAAGAATATTTGTTATGAGTGAACTAGCTGCTGTTAATCAGCGTATGACGTTGTGGACTTATATAAGCATAGAGTACATAGCCTTGCAAGTTTATATGTATTAATTATATTCTGTACCATATAACACATCTAGATTTTCTTTGCAGAGAGTAAAGGTGTTATATATGTTAAGTGTTAAAGTAAATGAGAAATTTAAATCCCTTGACAGAATAGGCAATATTATAATCTAGTAATTTGTTACTTTGATTACAGCAGATTTCAGGGACAACAATGAGGTTGGGTGGGTGACTGATGATTATTTAACAGTGGGATATTTATTGAGTGTTTCTCGTAAACATTCATTTCTAGACAGTCTAACATATGTTTTCTTTAAAGGGTGAAGAATTGTCGTTCAGAAACAGTGTTAGCTTGACTGCATTGTGTACACATGAAAATCACTCTGTATGGCTGAGACACGTTGTGGCTGCAGATAACAGGAAAATGGGGAGGGGGGGTAAGGAGGAGAGAAACAAAATATTGTACCTAACACTTTGAAGCCCACACAGATCTACACAGAACATTTCTTCCTGACCCAATGCAGAGAGTCAGGACTCAGGCTCTCTTCAGATTGGTTCCAAAAATTAAAAAAAAAGAGCAAAACAAATGATAGTGAAAGAGCAAACTCTCTCTCACTTACGAAGTCTCTTTAAGCAGTATAGCAATACCATCGGTGCTAGAACTTGGGGTGCTGGGAGTGCTACTGCACCCCCGGCTTGAAGTGGTAATAACCCAAATACATGGTTTCCATCTTCAGCACCCCCACTATAAAATTGTTCCAGCACCACTGAGCAATACCATCAGTTTCCAGTTCCTCTGGCCTGGGCTTGGATAGAGAAAACACTCCTCCTTCCTCTCAAGGCCTTCCCCAAGGTTTCAACTTCTATCCCTGCTTTAATAGGCTCTTTCTTAACCCTTTTTCTGTCTATCCTGCTGTGCTGTTTATTTTATTATGAAGCTATTTGTTAATATTTTTGTAATTCTTCCCCATTGGGCCTGTCACCTCTCACCCTCACTCATCCCTTAACCCTCCCCCCCCCCAAAGCCTTAACAGTGTCAGCAAGACAAAGGGAAACAAAACAAATGGAGAGTCTGTAGGCCAAGCCAGTCAGGAAAATGTTTACAATTTGAAAGACGGGTACATCTGCAAAATACTATTCCTATTCTGATACTTGGTAATATTCCTGGAGGTTTGAACTAACTCTACTCTGGAATGAGAGGCTGCCCAAAAAATGTCAGGGGGATCAGTTTATTTTTGGGGAAGATACAAAGAGAATGAAAAATTAGGCTTATAAGAAGATGAAAGCTCCAACCTTATCTTAGGCTCTGCTACCACCGCTCCATAATAAATTATAGATGCGTTTTATTGTTGTCAGAAGGCATCAACAGTCCCTCTTTCAGCTGCTCTACATGCAGTTATTTCTGTCTGGCTAAAAACCCCAGGTAGGACTAGCATAAGAAGGAGCAGTGATCAATTCCTGTTCCCTCTATAGGGCTGCACCAAGGAAGAACCCCCAGCTTCCTCTAATTAGGATCTAAAATAAGAATATCCTCAAATATTTGGCTATATGCCCATACTACTACTGATCATAATTAATCAGGGTTGATTCCCTATGTGATTACCAAGGTAACCATAGATTTCATGATTGCTCCTGTTTAAAAAAAAAACCCAAACATATCCATAACTTTTCCCACTAAGGAATTTTTGCAAGTTGAAGGGTGGGTTGATAGGCTGTTAACTGGGAGTTAAGTAGAGTTGTCAGTATATTGTCCAAACAACAACAAAAATGGCTTTTCAACCAAAACAATTTTTCGTGTATGTGGAAAATTTTAATTTTGATTGAAACTCTCTCATTTTAAGACAAACCCCACCCCCAAACTGCAAACGGTTTAGTTTCATAGCATTTCCCAACCAGCTGTAGTTATTAACACTTGAGGCAGCTGTTGAGCATTGAGTGCTGTGCCACTGGGCTGAATGGGAGGCCAATAGAGAGCAGGAACTCATCAACTGCTCTCTATTGGACTTTCACTGACAGATTTAATTCCTTTGGGGGTTGTACGTCTTCTCTACGGGCTTTGGTTTATAAAGCGTGGCTCCAATAAAGCAACTCTTGTCTTCAAAAGTTATCAAAATGTACTAAAAATTGGGAGAATAAACTTAATTTGGGTACAAAATAATGCCTCTAACTTTTGACTTTTCTAAACTATATTGCCATGACTTCTGCCCTTTTCACCAAAAACACCTCCATGACACTTCCTAAAACCTCCCATGTCAAAACAATAGGCCTGCTCATAAATAAAGTGCTAATACACTGAGGGTACTTTAAGAGCAGAAGATATTTCTCTCCAGAGGAAAATCCCCCAAACCTCATATTCTGATAGGCAACTCATCAGAATGAATTAGAATGAAAGCTGGTGACGATAATATGATGGGTAAAACATCAGATAAAATTAGATTAAAAGATGGTGAAAAGCCCAACAGCAAGAAGCCTCCTTTGTGACCCAGCCAAAGTGACACTTGGATAAATAAAGACTGACAAGGCAAACAATTCCTTCAAAAAAGACGTTCAAAAGTGCCTTCTACAATACTTAAAGTTGAAAATAAAAAATGTCCCAGACATTTGCATGCAGTTCATTTCAGCAAATGCTACAACGTGCAAAGATTTTAAACAAAACCTCTTTTAAAATGTTTCAGCAAATCTACATTTCTTCAGAACAACATGGGCTTGAACTGCCCTTTAGGTTTGTGGTCTGGATGATGAGACTTCCTGAATAAAACAGGGCCATACATTATCATCTGCTTTACAATGCAGGTCCATGAAAAAATGTCGCAAGTGAGGCATTTTCAGTATGCAGAATATCACCTTGGAGGAATGTCCTCAGAGTTGGCATGATGCTGTGTGGAAAATATGAATGTATGTACAGCTTGCAGCCTTTGTGAGTGCTTAATGGATGATTTCAGAACTGACAGGGGGAGGTCTGAACAGACACGGGAAGAGTCCACCAACAAGAGAGCATGTTACATCGTATCATTCCCTCTAAAACCAGCATATAACATGGCAAAGTAGTTGGCAGAAGTTACAGCTCTGTTTAGCAGTAGTGATTCCCAGGCTGCTCCCTATACACAGGGAAACAATAAATAACTACAGCCAGTTTGTGTACACCCCTAGAACGTGAAACAATTAATCAAGATCGACATTTGTGAGCAGTTCTGATTTGATCTGGCCATGTGGTGCATACTCCTTGAAGGATGGCCTCTGCTGTAGCTACAGATTAACAGTGCCAAATGGTTTGCCATGCTCTGATGCCAACAGAAAGGTATCATAAAATATCTCTCACAGGCCCAGTCAGACAAGGTGTGTGAAACAAACATGAAATCTGTGAGTTCAGTATTGCATGTACTGCAGTAAGCGCCTGGTAACAAAGTGGGCTCTTAATCAAATGCTTTACCTCATCCACAAAATGCCACATTAGTTGAAGGCTAGCAAGAATATCCTACTGTTTCAGAGGCATATCACTGCCTCTTGCAAAGGGGGTGGGACAAAGATATGCCCCTTGTACTGTGGCAGATACACCATTTTTTCTCCAATAGCATTCTTTAAAAAAACCACACACACATCCACATTTTCAAAAGGATAATCTAACGTAGGTTCTGCTACACAGTTTTGGCATACTTAGGCAGCTAGCACTTTTGTTTATTTTTTAACCATACACAAGGGTACGGTATGGCCCATGGAAATTAATTTAATTTCTTGAACATGCTTTTCTCATTTTCCAGCATTTTGTTAAAACAGGTTTCATCACAAATTACAATGATATAATCATACTGATTCCTTCAATAGGCCTAATAATCATACACTTTGACCAGTAAGGGCAATATTCTCAGCTAGTATAAATCTGCTTAGTGCCATAAACTATGCTGACTTATACCAGTTCTGGCCTCCAGGTTCACTGACTTCTGTGTGGAGGTTCCAGGCAGATGCAGGAGTCCATTCTGAGTGTAGAATAAGGACTAAACTATGTACAGATTTTATAGTTGCTCAACTTTCTTCCTTATCACGTGCTCTTTCATCAGAATTTTACAGACATTAGTACAAGACATGCACGAACCATTACATGGTGGAACCAGTCTCTTAACAGCTTTGGTTACACAAGAAAGTGCATGCGTTACTATACTCACCATTCCATGATTCAGCCAAGATGGTATAAAATTATCAAGAAGCTTTGGGTAAACCACTTCTCTGTCATAAATATAGAGGCTCCAAAACATTGTCACAACAAACTGAGGAGAGAAGAAAATACAATTTAAAAAATGCTTATGATCAATTATCTGATTTCATTGCCCTTTTTCATTTTAGTTATTCATATCTCTACAAGTTAGAAGCTAAAGATCGACAAACAGACAGACATTATTGCTCATAAACCCAGTCTTCCTTTTTATCAGTGTGGTCTAGAGTATTCTTTACATTCTCAAAAGTTATGATTTTTCTTTTCTGTTTTTGACATTTTGACTGGAAAAATAACTTTTAGTTACATATTTGGGGCCAAGTTACAATTGAGTACTATATTTTAGTAGTAGATGTGGTATATTAATAATGTTTTACCACTAACAGAAAACAATGTGAAATCTCACAATATACAGCATATACCAACATAAAGAGTATTAAGGCTCTGTTCATATGGGGTGAAATTCACCCTTGAATAGAAGGCCACCACTTCTTATGTCCCATTTCGGCAACCAAATACATTAACCAAAAAATAAATCTAACTCTTGAAGCATTATTCACAGAATTTATGCACAGAGGTCCAAAAGAAAAAAAAAAGGTTTCCAACATCCTACTCACTTGTCCAAATGAAACTCATTTTGGCTCTTGTTAAAGAGACAACTTACTAGACGCCAAAGAGTGAGCATTCATTCTCCCCTCTCTCTCTCTCTCTCTAACCTGAGGATGGAAGAACGAGTTTGAATAAAATAAAAACTAGCGTAAACCTTTAGCTAAAGCTTGCATAAAACCTTTTAACTTCTTTTGAAGTTCAAAAAAGCTGAGAACTTCTTTCCATAACATTTTTTATTTTGACCCACCTCTGCATTTTTTCTTTCTGTCCAAGACTATGGAAGTAGAAATACTGAAAGGCTTTTCTCATAATATTTTTATCCTAACTGAAAGCAATAAGTATTAGAAGTCTGGAACTGCTTAATTTTTTGAGGTTTGCTCACCATTAATTTAGCTCCATTTTCTTTTTCTACTATTTAACAGTGCTGCCCCTGATTCAGACTGTTCTGAACATGCCATTGTCAGCTATGGAGATTTCACTGTTAGCTCACACCACAAAAGTAGGTTATGCTTCCATCGAAGCTTTGTCTATATTATGAACCTCTTAAGGTCTCCTTGCTTTTAAAATTTGTATTTTCCCTTCCTGAAAATGCAGTCTATCTACAATAAAGTAAAAACAATATAGAAATATCAGTGTTAGATTAACTTAATAAAACCCTGAATGTTGGAAAGAAAACATAGGACTAAATTCTTTGTACATACACTATTTTCTTTTTAATTTGAGTTCAGTTCAAACTATGTTCACAGTCCTGTAGGGATAAAAGGGCTATCACTTGCTACAGAAAAAAACTGACAACAGGTCCAGGAATCTTTCACTGGTAAGTTTCAGGAGAGATTAGAGGATCTCTGTGCAGAAGAGATTAGACCAAATTTAGCCCTATAGCAAGCAGGTGCAGCTCTCACTGAATTCAATGGGAATGTATCCAATTGTGCTGGGTGAGGAATGGTTTTTGGGGAATAAGGAGTGGGAACAAGGAATGTGGGATTTATGGGGGCAAGGGTGTTTCAAGGTCAGCAAATTATTGGTGGATGTGGATGGGATGAACACAATTCACTTCATATACTTCTAGCTTTCGGATGTTAAAATTTAGGTTACAGATTACCAGTGGCACCTCGTGCTAACCACAGATATGTACGCTTAAGGAAGACAGACATTTGGATGATCTAGACTGGTAAATTGTTCCTTCAGTGCACATACAATACATAGTTCCTTAGTTTCCAACACACTTTCCCATCTGTTATGATGGCTTTCGGTGCTCAAAATAAGTTTGGACCCTTCAACTTGTGCGTAGGCGCCAGGAAAAAAAATAAGTTATGATGGACAGCCTGCATAATATTGAAAGTGTAAAGTGCTCTTCAAGAAGTCTCTCCTCTGTGCCAGTATTGGTATTGGCATCACAGAGCTTTTTACACACCTATTGACACTTAACTGCCAAAATATGAACAGCTAACAACAGGGAAATAAGGCAAAGTTTCCCAATTTTTTTGACTTCCTTGAAGTCATGTTGTATTGCAGTGGGTCACTGAGAATATATTAAGACCAATTGGGATATCAAAACATATGTAGCATGAAAACCAGGCTCAAAAGCACTCTGTATAAAGAAAATCCGACATCAAGCAGTGGCACCAAGGGTAAAGCTGAAACATATTAGAATGAATCCAGCTAAACTGGCAAACACTTGGGTCTGGGATTTTTCAATGGGGCAAAGTAAAATGATAGGAAAATGAGGTAAAGGTAAGAAGAGAGAGGAGGAACCATCTGTCTCTTAACCAAAGTCAGCCAATGGATAGAATTAGATCAACATAGCTGGTTGCAACCATCTGGAGCTACAGACGGTAAATGCTGCTTAGCAAAGCACCACCACAGGCAGACATAAGGAAAGACACAAAAAATAAAACATTACAGTTCTAACGTAAACCAACAAAGAGAAAGACATTCAGACTCAGGGCTGTCACACTGACCTAAGTCTCTTTAATTGGAGGAATACTTCTCACATTGGTTGGTCAATGTCTCTAAGTGGTTGACCCCAACTTTTTTTTTATGAATTAATATGGACAACAGAAAAATCTCATTTCTAGGACATTTTACGTAGCTTCCTAGCCACCCTTGTGTCTTGCTTTGATTAATAAGCAATTGTTTGATAGTTCTAAATAGGTTTAAAATTCTCTTCAATATCAGAATGTTTATATTGGTATTAGTGCAATTTAATTTGGGCTACACTCAGATAGGTTTCATGTGGCTGTTCAGTGAGGGGGAAGGGGAAAATGAGCTCCCCATTTACATGTATTGCAACCCCTGCCCAACTGGGGCAGCACAGGTAGTGATACTGAGTCGCTTCTCCCCTCTCTCCCCCTAAGGAACAATTCACTGGAATGGGGGAAGGGAGAGACAGGGAGCAGGTGGAGCCATGGCTCGCCCCTGCTTATATACTGGCCAGCACCGTGGGCTGGCCACGCATGGGGGGCGGGAGAGTTTGAGGCATAGCAGTTTGTATGCTCCCTTGTATAGCTGAGGCAGAATGGCACAAACCTCAGAAACCTCCTTCACTTTCCCTGCTGGGGATACCCCTGGCATGGGACCCCAGTAGGCAGAGACATTGGAACTTGCTTCTACACCTCCCTCCTTGCAGCCCCTTGCACAGGGAGTATCTCAGGAGCCAGAAGGGGCACGATGGGAGTGGGAAGAAGCAGTGCCTAGAGCACCATGCACTTCAGCAATCCCCAGCTTCCATGTTATTCCTAGGATATCAACGCCAACTGGTGCAAATCAAAGCTGCTCCCAAGTTTCTCTGCCTCAAGGTTGTAGCAAAGAGCCAGGCAGCTATAATCAGCTCCCTGGGATGCTCTCTCCCTTTCCCCAACTCCGCTGCACAAAGCAGATGCTAACGCTGAAGAGAATCTGCTTCTATGAGGGTGTCACTGTCACAGTTCAGAGCAATTGCACCTGTATTCCCTCTCTGTGGGCCAGCAAGGGCACTCATACTCTAGGCTTCCGGTTCCTCTGCCACCACCTCTCTTGGACAGAGACTCTCTCCCTCCTGACCATTTTTTTTCCCTCTTTCTTCAGACTGCACAGTTTCCTACCTACACTGTGAGTTCCCCAGCGATGCAGACTGCCTAAGCAGGCCTACTTTGCTTTCTCCTCAGAGGTTATAAATAGTATAATTCCCTGAAGCTGTAAGTAATCACACAGTCCTTTCTAAACAAATACATTTATTCTTAAAGTAAAAGCATTACAGAGAAAACATATATTTAAAACAATAAGAGAACCTAAACACATGCTAATGAGCTTACCAGATCACCCCCAACTCCAACAAGGGCTCTGGCAGGTGATCAGCCCTTTAAACCCCACCAAGGGGTTTTCCTGTGGTTACAAGTTCATAACAGCTGTTAGCTCTGACACCCCCATGAATCTTAGAGTCCCTCCTTTATGCAACTCAGGGCTCTGATCTTCAGATTCTGGTAACAGGTAATCAGCAGACAATGGGTTTCCCCATAGGTAGGGTGACCAGATGTCCCATGTTTAAAGGGACAGTCCCATTTTTGGGGACTTTTTCTTATATAGGCGCCTATTACCCCCCACCCCCTGTCCCGTTTTTTCACAGTTGCTATCTGGTAACCCTACCCTACCCCTTCAAATGATTGGGTCTGGAGGTGGGATTTTACTTCCTTCCAAGTATTTCCTAGGAAATCCAGTCAGCTTTGTTTGTCGTAAAGGTTCCTTCTTGTCTGACACATTGTTTAAAATGGGCCTTTGAAGCTCAACACATTGGTCACCCCCCACCCCAGTGAAGTTACATATAACCCCACAATGATACATAAATTTTGCATTTTTAATACAATGGACTGCAAAGCTACTTAAACTTAATTCAGTAAGACTTCTCAGGGATATTGCAGGAAATTGCCATATTTGTCACAGTCACATGGCTGCATTTTAGCCTGTGCCCCTTAAGCTTCCTGCCAATTTGAGTCTGCCAACTTTAGTTTTGTGCAACAGTAAGAGATTACTTGTGGAGAAAGGAGCTGCATCACATGAGTAAGAATGGCAAAATCATTGCCTATGTTAATGCCTTCTCTCCCCTTCTGCAGACAATACCACTCGGATAGTCAGTAGAAAGTTAAATAGCACATAAAATTCACAAGAAGGACCCTTCTTTGCTACTCATTGTATTCTACGTACACTCTAGACAAGTGGGCACTTCAGTTTTTCAAGTGGGCCTTGGGTTCTCTTTAAGAAGGAGTAACTGATTTGTAATATGCAACTCAGTATCACTAAACAATACACAGTAGCAGCAAAAGTGTTACTAAGGCCCAAGAAACAATTTCCTTCTTCCACTTCAGAAAAAAACCATCAAACAATTTCCCCCTCAGCTTTAAAGCTTCAGAAAGTAACACAGAAAGAACACAAGATACTACTGAGGGGGAAATTTTAAAGCATGAATCAGAAAACTGTTTGTTATTTCTCCTTTTGAGTCACCAAGGGCATTAGTAAAACAAAAGAAATTGAAACAAAGACAAACTGACAGAGGGAGGCCAAAACTGTGTAATTTGCTGTGCACATAACCGGAAAAACTACCATATAAATGAATAATGAACACAATATAATTTTTTTTACTGTGTATTTTTGATTCTGAATAACCTGTACAAGCAAGTTTCACTCATTTCCTGGGTGATTTCTAGGGAAAACTGGATGCTTTATTTGTTCCGCATGGACAAAAAGACCCTCTGGTGCTTTTTGCAAGACTAAAGATTTTCTCCTGTAACCTTGGGCAAAATTTCTTCTCCACACATTGTTGTGTAGTTTGATGTAAGCTTTCTGGCTACCTCTCCAAGGTGGCTGTAGTAAATTGGTGCTATATGTGTATGGTTTGTGAGGATGTTTGGGATCCTTCAGGACAAAAGGCACTATATAAATGTGAAATTCCATTATGGCAATCCCCAGCTGATGTAAACTAGTATAGCATTGACTTCCATGGAGCTACACCTATTTACACCAGTTGACACTCAACCCAAATGCATTTGACAAAGGCCTATCAAGAAAGTCATGAAGGGCAGGAACTGAGGAATTGGGAAGTCAGTGGGTCAGCCACCTCCTGTTCGCCCCCTCACGGCCCAGGGTCACGCTACAGGCAGCCTACCTCAGTTTTTCCTCTTGGACAGTTCAAATAAAACTTCACTTCAGGCATTTTCTTGGTCCTAAATACACGTCCTTGGAGTTTGGGTTTATAAATTGCAATAAAACACAAAATCACAAATAAAGTCCATTCATAAGTCCACATAACACAAGGTTTCTCTTACTCCTCTTAGGCCTTCCTGCCTGAGGCCTTTGCAGTCTCTCCCCTGCTGGGACTGGATCTTTGCCAGATGTCCTTGCCTGGGGCAAATCCCCTTGTGTCAGGGTTTTCCCTGTAGGAGACTTTCCTCATTCTCTGCAAACTCTGTCGTAGCTTTTTGAGCTTTCCCCCTTCACTACAGCCACCCACTGCTTTTTACAGGGAACTTCCTGATCCAACCCAGGTGTGTCTCTTTAGTAATCTGGGTTAGCTAGCCCCAGTCCCTCCAGCCAATAAGGGGCAAGCCATCCTGTTACAGGAAGGAATTTCCTACACAGGATAGAACTGCACAATTAGAGTTTTAAGTTTACCTCTGGAGCATTTGGCATTGGCCACTCCTGATGGCAAAATATCAGTCTAGGACATTGGTTTGTTCCAGTGTGGCAATTCCTGTAATTTATAGGCTAGTGGTGGGGAAGGGGTTACATGGGGACATCTGGCAAATATCTGCAGTAATTTTCTTAGACTTAGAAGACAGGGGAAGAGGATTTAAAATGTCCAGAAGACCTACAGATCTCTTCCATGCATGGCTTCTAAGACAGAATGACTACTAGTTAGGTTTGTGCAGGAGTGATCTTTTCAGTGTTCCTCCAGCAAATTCTCAATAGGTCAGTTGTGTGTATGGCTAAAAGTAATTTTTTTTTTAAAGCCAACTATAGCATAGCCAAAGATAAATGATAAACCTTCGAAAGTTTGTTTACAAATGGGAAGGAATAGGGAAAAGGGTATTTTTATATACACAGGAAGAGGCTGATCTCTTGAAAATACAAAAGCACAATTTTGATCATCTAGAAATGCCTATTCACCTTCTTCTACTACAGGAATGACAAGAAACACAATGATATTGCCATATACAGTTTACATAAAACACTGAATTAGTCAGAAAAACTTGGCAGACTTTGTGATCTGTGACAAACAAACAGAAAACAAGAGGGATAAACTAAAAACATTGGTACAGATTCTGCCACACTTATTCCCTTATTCGCTTTGAGATGCATTCATAGTCTCACTATGCTAAGGCTACTTCATACTGCTCTAGCAGTGTAATTTACTGCCACTTTAAGGCCACTTTATACTGCTAGGTTGGTGAAAAATGAATTTAGCAAAAATAGGAATGAAGTCTTTTGAGAAATACTTTAGTATGCAAACAGTACCATTAATTTAATGGATCAGGTTCCTATACTCTGATTCACACTGAATAGTACCATAAGGTACTACTTAACTGGAGTAAAGGTATCAGAATGTTGTCCAATGGGACTATTCATGGAATAAACTGCTACTCACCATGAGTAAGAACGGCAAAATTGGGCCATTATTTTCTGGTTTCATTAAATAAAAACAGAAAATCCATCACTAAAAGTCCTATTAAAAAGGACAACAAGGTAGTCAGTGGTGGTTATTGGTTCCATCTAACAAGCTCGTGTGTATTTTCTTTTGATGCTCCTAAAACAGCTCATGTTTCATTTGAGCAGCTGGAGAAATAAAGAACATAACACAAAAGAGGCAAGGTTTTGCATATTTTCTGGCCATTGTTTCCATTGCTGTTGTTTCTGTGTTTTACTTGGGGGTGGTGGTGGTTGGTTTTGTGTTTTGTAGGGAGGAAGGAGGATGCTGACCAGGCTTCCCAGATGGCTTAACTGTGATACTTATTTATGAGGAGGCACTATAAATAAAAAGCTGTGGTTTTTTAGGGTTTTTTCCCCCCTACACACATCATTGTTTGACCTGGGAGTGGAAAGCTGCTTTCTCGTCTATTTTTCAGAACAATCCATCTTGAAGACTTTAGAAAGCTGGAAACTGAGAGCCAATTATTTAGAATAATTCTCAGAACTGCAGTTATTGCACTTAAAAACTTTCCAATTCTACCTTGAATAATTTTACTCCAATATATGAATTATTCATATATAAAGAGCACAGAATAATGCAAAATATTTATGTAACATTAATTTAGATGTGTAAGGCAACTGACAAGTTTTTAAGCATGACCACTCTGGTTTCAATCAGAAACCTAATTAGCATTTTATTCACATCTGTTTAATTTTCTATTTTGAGATTTCTACATGCCTCTAATGTAAACCACTGAGAAGCCCTGGAGAGAATTGTTTGGGCGCTTGTCAAGGAAACCTGCTTTCCAAAAGGAGGAAGCTGTTGAGAGAATAGGGGAAGTTAGGGAATTTTAATTTTTCTCTGCAGACACTCTGCTGTATAATAATTTCTCTACAGCCTCTGACATATAAAGACCTCACTGCATATTTTCTTATATATATATTGGCAGAACAATAGTGGCATTAGACCTACGCTACTTGTGGGCACACCCGTAATCACACTGCATAGTATCTTATTCTACAAGTAGCCCCACTCAAGACAATGTGCCAGATTCTGCCTCCCTATATTTTGCCATCCCTCTCCCTCCTGGTTAACACCACAGGGAGTGGTAACTGATGAACAGGAGAAAGAGTCGGGTTTTAGGAGGGACCCTGGATTGGTGAGGGACCAGACATTCAGAAAAGTAAAGTCTGAGTCTGGCGGCTGAGGCCAGTGTTACATTCGGAGGCTCTGCTGTTTGTCTCCCAGCAGCCAGGAGAGAGAGGAACAACAAAATCCTTTTAGGTTTTCTTTGTGCAAAATTAAGAGCAAAAAATGCAGCAAAGACATTTTGTTCCCTATCTGGAGGTCACCTTTAGGGGAGGGGGAAAAAAAAGAGAGACAGACTATTTTTACAATATACTTAGCTAGTTATTTTCTTGTTTTCCTTTGACAATACACAAAATGTTTGTGTGTTTTAACCCTAGCTAGTTCCCATGTGTAATGTGTATCCCCTAGGAACTGGTTAATTTAGAAAATGCTCATTTGTACATCTCATTTAGAGAGTGCTTACAATACTTGGTAGCTCCTCTTTCACAGATGGCAAAACAAGTAACTCCTGAAAGAAAAAATAGATATAACTCAGAATGCTTAGAAACTGATGCTATTGCCAACAGAAGTTGTAGCTAATGTCTTCACAGGAGGCCTCAAATGGTCTTAAAAAGTTTCAGGGCTGGGAAGATGAGAGGAGGTACAGAAGTAGTACACAAAAGCCAGCAGAGTTTTAAAACAGAGGAGAGAGAAACATAGTATCATAAGCTTTGTGGATATTGAATAGCTGGCGAGAGAGCCAGAAAAAAAAGCAGGAGAATGTGTCTCTTGATGTGTGTAAAAGCTTATATTGTAGGGTTTTTTCCCAAAAAGAATCACTTAAAAACTTAAAAATAATGTTGTGCTCTTCTTAGGGGGCTCTTTTCTAGTAATAACAGTAGGGAAAGCATCTGTTATCAGTCACAACGACTACATAACTCCCAATCTTCCTCAACATATAATTGTGAAAAATGATATTTTGCAAGCCTGTTTATTTCCAGATATATTTTTAAATACATTAATTATTATTCTGTGTTTCTTATGTGATAGAAGAAAAATTGCAGCTAGTTAACCCAGTATAAATAGCAGCAGTTACCCTTAGCAGGAGTAAGTAAAGTAATTTAAGGCTATCAACTGGGTGTTTTGGGAAGGGAACACCTGTACAATGCTGTACATGTGTTTTATATTTTATAACCTTGCACAAGCATTGTGTATTTCATCATGGACTGGACTCTAAAATATCACACCAAGGATTTTAACAAAGCCTGCCAAAGTATATAAAATTCGATATTTTAAATTAGTGCGTTAACTGTAAAGTTACAATAGATGCCTAGTTGTTATACACAGTGTCAACAATGAGACCTCATACAGTTAGCTAGAAGATCCATCAATACAAGTAGAACAGTGGTTCACAAGGTTGCAATTAGAACTGGCAAACTTTCATAATGAAACAAAAAATGAGGCATGGTTTCCAGTTTCATTACAGCCTGTGTTTATTATAAAGGTACACAAACCTTTTGCTAACCTGATCCAAGTTTTGGACAAACCTGGGCCAAATTGTAGTTTTGGGTGGAAAGCACTGGCAATCTGAGTTTTGTCATGCTTAAAGTGCCCAGTCCTGCTCCACTCTAGTCAATGGCAAAAGCCCCATTGATTTCAGTGCAGAAGAAGAGCAGTTTTATTCTGAAAAGTACTCATAAATGCCTTCTTACTCTGCTCCCTCTTAGGAACCTGTGCACCTTAATGACAAAAACATGTTTTTACTCCTCTTAGCTCTGAAGAGCCAACAGGGCTAACAGGGAGAGCGCTAGATTCTATTATCTTTTGCATCATCAACAGAATTGTTTAGCAAACTCCAGTCAGTTACTCTTGTGCAAACCCATGGAGGGTAGAACTTCTATCTCTGATGATGATGTGTGATATAGAAAGAATCCAGCTCGACTCCCAAACAGTCTACATGCCAACCCACCTCATACTTGCAAAGACTTACAGGATCAAGACCCTAATGCAGGGGATGGGCAAACGTTTTAGCCTGAGGGCCGCATTGGGGAATAGAAATTGTATGGCGGGCCATGAATGCTCACAAAATTGGGGTTGTGGTATGGGAGGGGGTGCTGGCTCTGGGGTGGGGCTGGGGATGAGGAGTTTAAGGTGTAGGAGGGTGCTCTGGGCTGGGACCAAGGGGTTTGGAGGGCTGGAGGGGGATCAGGGCTGGAGCAGGGATGCGGGAAGGGATGCAGGTTCCAGCTGGGGGTGCAGGCTCTGGGGTGAGGCTGTGGATGAGAGGTTTGGGGCACAGGAGGGTGCTCCATGCTGGGATAGAGGGGTTTGGAGAGTGGGAGGGGGATCGGGGCTGGGGCAGGGGGTTGGGGCTCAGGGGTGCAGGCTCCGAGTGGCGCTTACCTCAAGCAGCTCCCGGAAACAACGGCATGTCCCTTCTCCGGCTCCTATGCGCGGAGCAGCCCCTGACCCTCGGAGCATGGCCATGCAGCTGCTTCCGGGAGCCGTGTGGTATGGCCCCCGACCCTGCACCCCGGAGCAGGGCCATGCCATGCCCTCTGGGAGCTGCGCCCCAGAGCGGGGCCATGCTGTGGCTTCCAGGAGCTGTGTGATGCTCCCCCCAGACCCTGCTCCCCAGCAGAAGCTGGCAAGCCGGCTTAAAACGGCTCGCAGGCCGTAGTTTGCCCACACCTGTCCTAATGTGTTAGTACATTTTATTTATATCACGAATCCAGATTCCTCAACAGTGGATTATTTTTTTAAAATGAAATGAAAAAGTAACTGAAAGTTATCTTCAGGATAACTAAATTGTGACAAAAGTGTGCTCCCATTTCCCCCTTTTTTCATAGTCATTTATCCTTTTTGCTAAGAATGTCAATTTTTACAGTCAGGAAACAATGAACAAGTTAAATGATGCACCTGCGTGGAAGTGAAATTAACTGCTTAGCACCATACTTACAACTCCAACAGGAAAGGCTAAAACAGCCATCATCCAGTCACGGAGGGAAATGAGCTTTTTTAACTGTCTTTCTTGTTCTTGGCTGTCACTTCCTTTGGTGAGAAGACTGGAGAGATCGGTCAATACGCAGATCCCAAAAAAGACAGCCTGGATAACCTGCATGGAAATAAAATCCAATCTTGAAGACTATAGATACACAAATCATCAGATGCAATAGAGATACAGATAAAGACTCTGATTCAGCCAAGCACTTAAGTGCGTTCTTAAAGTTAAGTATGTGTTTTTAAGTGTTTCACTGAATCAGGACCCTAGAGATGGAGCATAGTGCTGGACACTCAGCAAGGAAGTCCTCAAATCAAATCTCAGCTCCGATAGTGACTCATGTCACTTTGGGAAAGTCACTTAACCTCTCAATGTTACCCCAGTCCATAAAATGTGGATAATAATATTTACTCAACAGGAGATTCCAATATGAGGATTATTAGTTCATGTTTATACAGTGTTATGTAAGAGCTAAGCATTATTATATTCAATGGGAAAAAATTACTTAGGCCCGGATCCTGCAAAGTATAATTAAATATGTGCACAAGTCTTGACAGAATAGAGACCTTAGAAAACCCTATAAGGATGATACTGAATATGAACTTGTAATATGGAAGAACAAAAACAAAAAAACAAGCGAGACAACAATATATTTCTGGACTCTATGATACCAGACAGAGGGAATTCAGAAAAATACAACATAAATGATTAAATGGTTGGAGGTACTGATTTACAAGTAAGGGGTCTGTTAGGATTCAACAAGAAAAAATGATTTCTACCCCAAGAATCCTTCCCTCCATTTTTTCTCCACCTGGCTCTCTTACCTGAGCTGTTTGGAGATGATGTTGCAGAAGGCCAGAAGCTCAATTTTTTCACTACTGGCTGTAAATTAGCAAACAGGCCTTCAAATGCCCACTGAGCATCCTGTGTCATCACCACACTAAAGGAACAGCTTGTGTTCCTGCTGCTGCCACAGCTCCCTCTCCACATACTGTAGATGCACACATTTTCCTTAAAAACTAGTGTAGAACATAGATCAAGCAACATTCCAAAACATGCACTGATGATGCCAGCCATGATACATGACAAGTTGTTACATTTAGAAATTTTTTTAAAAAGTTCTTTGGGGAAACTCTCCACTTCTATTTAAAACTCAAAAAACCTAAACATTTTGATTCTAAAAATAAGATTTTGGGTCCCCAAAACCCCATGATGCAAATGCATTTTTCCTCTTTGCTTCATTTTAAACCAGCATTTAATCAAAAATAATCCCCCCACCAATCAGATAGCCTACTTATACAGAAAGATTATAAGAGCTAAAAGTGTTTTACCTTGGCCAAATGATGACCAAAGAGATAGGCTAACCATCTACAATTTACTCAAGGGTATAAGTATGAAGGAAGGAAAAGGTCCCGTTAAGGGAGGTCTAGAGAAGTATAACTACAAATAACTAGATGAATCTGAGCATAAGAAAATTTAGGCCAAGTGACGGGAAATATTTCCTAACAGTGAAATCTATTAGACCATGGAATAGTCTCCCAGAGGAAGTGGTGGAAGCCTTATTGCTTGAGTCATTCAAAGTTAGATTGGACAAAACATTCAAGAATATACTGTAGGGACCAATATTGCACTGGCAGAGTTTGGATGAGTGACCTAATAGGTTGTTTGCAAATCTAATATGACTTCCTGAAATGAGATTTATCTAAAGTAACATAGCCTGAAACACCCACACTTCCAAAGGGAACTGAAATTGTACGTTTCCTAATCAATCATAAACTGAGCTGCTTCTTTAAGTTATTCTGCTATGAGGACAAAGTTACATGGGGGAAATGTAATGCTATTATAGTGTATAGTGATGAATTTGTGAAAATACTGAAGGGAAGGAAGCTATCCATAGGTTGCAAAGTTGTGGTATGAGGGATAATATATAACAATAAATTTAAGAACTAACAATGAAAACTACAGAAAAACATAAGGCGGGAGGGAAAAATACATTTCCTGACAGAGAGCTACTGAACAGAGCCAGGAATAAATACTTCAGAGTTTAGGGAGGAAACTTCCCTAGCTCCCCCATATAAATAACACACATAGATACAGCTACTCACTTTCTTCCCTACATACAATGAATAAGAAGTGCTATACTGACAACTGCCCTCTTGTCCAACATTGGGGATTGAACTGGGGACCTCCAGAGCTGAAAACATGAGTCTCTACAGTATGAATTAGCGTGTCAATCTCTGTAGGTGGGGAACATAACCAATTAATATCCTCTGGGATCAGGCACAGGAGATGCATGGCACACACGGACCAGTGGGTTACGCTATGAAACGAGTTTTAAGGGCCTATGCTCCCTTCAGTGTAAATTCTCTATAGTAGTTTAGAAGTTACAAATACATAACAAAGGAGGACATGATATTTCTTCCTAAACAATGTCCACTGAAAAACCTTGATGTTATCACAGATTAAAGAAGACATTTTCAGAACAGAAGCCAGCTTTCAAAAACCTGGCCATAATGCTAAGTGGAGCAGCCACAAAACAGTAAAGGAAGCATATGTTTTATTTTTCTGGAGATCAAGCAATAAATTGTGAGAATCCACCGAAAAACATCCTTCTTAATCTAAATATTGCTGTGACGCATGGCCAGAAAGGGTTAAACAACATGCAAAATAAATATCCCTTAAAAGACATGTGGGGAGATAATGTTTGTGTTTTTGTGTATTTACATATGTATGAGTAGGGTCGACAATGTAATCAGCAGTCCCTGTCTATGTTGTATTCTGATAATTCAGAGGTCAAAAGAACATCCTATCATTTAAATGGATTGTAAACACGGGATATCTCTGTATTCATCTCTCTTTGAAATGTATAGCAAATAATCTGTGAATGGTGGAGGAACAAGCAAATTGCCCTATGTTAATTTGTGTAACTAATTACTGGTGATGTTTAGAAAGCAAAAGGCTACATCAAAAGTCTATTGTTTAACCAGGACTGTGTCGTCAAGTGGATGCTAGAACACTGTATAAAAAGACCCTTGGATCCTGATCCTGTTCATCTCAGATCTGCTTAGGATTCATCAGTGGAAGTTTGAATTGCAAGACTGAGGTCCCAGTTCTGCTGATACGCCCGGAATATGATATTTGGACATTGGATTATAACCTATGAACTATATCTGAAAGAACTCTTTGCAGCTACAAAGCTCACCATCTATGCTATGAATCTGAATGCTGACTGAACTCATGTCTGTATATATATTGATCTTTTAACCATATTCTCGCTCTCTTTTTTTTTTTAAATAAATTTTAGTTTAATTAATAAGAACGGGCTGTAGCATGTATTTGGGTAAGATCTGAAACATTCATTAATCTGGGAGGTATTGTGTCCGATCCTTTGGCATTGGTAGAACCTTTTCTTTTATATGATGAAATAAGATTTTCAGAAATCATCATATTTGATTTAGGTACCTAGATGGAGGCCTGAGGCTGGATCACTTTAAGGGAACTGTGATGTTTGGACTTCTGAGTAACCTGTGAGGTAATAAAGATGCTGTTTTATGCCATCTTGATAAATCTTATTGGAATATTCACCAGCTTTATGTGGATTCTCTGCCCCATTCTTTGCAGTTCACTCTAACTGAGTGAGCACAGCAGGCTCCCCACTAGGATCCCGGTCACAACTGCAAAATGCAGGCAAACTTTTTTTTTTTTTAATTTTGCAAGTCTGGGTCTCATCCATGTAGAAAGAGATACTGGTAGCCTATGATCAAAGTTTGAAGAGAGCACAGATTTACAAAAAGAAATAAATACTGGTCCATTATGTAGAACAATCATGCAGTAGTAATCAAGAAACAAAAACAAGGAATTGACAGAATGAATGAAATTGCCTTTATACATTCCAGAAATGGCCCTGGTTGTGCACAAAATTAACACACCTTTTCATGTAATACTACCTCCCAGTTTACTTACAGATAAGTCTCCAGTGCAAAAGAAGGGGAATGTATTCATGAGGGATTCATAATTATGTGGCTATAGTTCACTGTTTTGAGAATATAATTCATATCTCCAAACTTTTAGGCATTCCATCAGTAATTCCCAGACATTGTCAGTATCTGAACAAGTTGTCCCTTGAAGGCAGCCTTATATAAATTTGTAATTACGCTCTCTTCTGAGACAACAAGCAGCCTGAAACAATAACACCAAATTTTAGCTCTACCAGCATGCAAAAACAAAAATTGCTGGTATCTGTCAGTCCACATAAATTACACTTTTATAGTTTCCAAATCCATGGTCTGATTTTTCTTTGGGAAAAGAAAAACAGAATATGATTTATTACTTCAGATTATCTGTTACACTCCTTGTCACCTCCTAGCACTGTTGTATTCTTCCAGGCTTTTGACATGATGGATCAGTAAAATAATCTGGTGTTGTGAACATATATTATGCTTGAGCAGTTAGCATGGTAGTGTGATTAAGACACATTGAAGTAATTTAGGCCAGACAATTTGTCTGTTTGGCTACTGTAAGTGTGATTGATTGGAATCAGTGTATTGGGACCATGCTTGTTTTAGCATCTATATATACACGGGAATGTGAACTATAACAGCAAAACCCTCCAAAGTTCAAAAATCCTGAGCACGTTCAAGTAAGTCGTGGGTAATGAAGTGGTTTTGACATCGGGCTGCTCTGCATTTACAGAAGGCAGCCTAGGGTGGCAATGGTTTGCTAGGGCTGTTACCACTCTTGGCTAACTCAAGCTATTGATCCTTCTTCTCCACAGCTACTGACTCCTCCACTGTTTCCCATGTCCACATGATTGTTGCATTCTTCTCAGCTCATTTTCCATCTCTGTCCCTTTGATAACTTGGGGAGCAAACAAACTGGGGAATGCATGCTTGAGTGCTATATTGTAGGATGGTACGGAGACTACTAGACAAATAGTACAGCACAGACAAAGACATGGTGTTCCTGGACAATAAATATATGAAATTAAATAAAACTTAAAAAGAAAGAAAAATGATGATGAAAATGTAAGCATGAACTCACAACATTTTATTTAAATATATGTCAAACAACAGTTCAATAGTGCTAAATTTTTCAGGAGAAAGGCCTTCTTGAACTGCCATACATATAGGTATGAG